AAAAAAAAAAAACGAAAAAGCTAGCAAAACTAACAATTTGTAACATAAGGCAAAGGCAAAAAAAACCCTAACCAAACAGAATTGGAAAGCGACATAAGGGCAAAAGCACGGTGAAAACATAAGCGAAAGCACACGTAAACATATTGAGACAGACTAAGCGACATCCTGATTAGAGGGGAGGGCATTATGACGAGGTAGAATGACGAGGTAGAAGGAAGCTGTCGGTAGGGCAGCACTTCAAAGCGACTAACACATAACTGAAGCATCCAAATGGACATTATTAGACAGAACACCACACAATATGAAAGGGGAATTGTTCTTGTCTCCATGCGACCACACTGCATGACTTGAGAGCTGCATTGAAACTGGCAATAAAGACTGGCAATAGAAGGGTCAGCCTGAGCAACGCAACTAGCTGTGCTATTCCGGGGCGGGCATGGTTCATGCCTCTTTGATCTAAACACGAACCTCGGGCGTAGAACTTAGACCCAAGTAGTAGTAATTCATGTCCTACAATGGCCAAGGATGGCAGGACGAAACTAAAGACAAATGGCGGCCCTACGCTAGAGCTTGCCTACGAAAGAAATGAGACTGAATGATATCAGGAAAACGCACTAAAACAAAGTGAGACCGCAAGATCGAAAGAGAAAAAGTCTCAACAATCAAAAACGTAAAAGCCTCGAATGACTAAAAGTCTTGCACACCAATCAAACGCATGAACTCAATTTTAAGTGGCGCTTTTTTGAACTGGGATGTCTTTCTTTTCTGGAAGAGCTCAACCGGAAGTTTATTGAGCCACATGGACGTCCTGTAGAAGAACGAGTTCCTGGCAATACTGTTACGAAATCGAAAACTGTGACTCGCTCTGTAAGTACAGATATTATAGGATGGCCTTCTCATGGACGATGGCTTAAAGGACCAAACGTTTGAGGGACGTAAGCAAGACTCACCCTTCAAGATTTTAAAAGCAAGAACGGAATGAATGTGCATCCAGCAAAAACTATGCAGTGAGAATCTTTGCAAGGCCTCCTTGCCGTACAAGGCTGGTAAATAGTTGGGAATTCGATCGAAATGGTTGAATGATAAACTAACATCAAATGATTTTTTTTTGACTTTTTACTTGAAGGATGAGTTTTATTTATAGGAACATGTGAAACATTATCGATATCCTTATTGCATGGAAGCAATGTTGTTGATACAGTTCGTGGAAAAGATGAATTTGTTTTCAAGAATATTGGCCCAGGCAACTATCGGGGTACGTTCTGTTTTGTTAGACTGTTCGTCTAGTTTATACTCTGTTCCTGTCTTCAGTTCGAGTCAACGAAGGTGACCGGGGCTGTTGGGAACAACGAGAACTACCGTTGGTCATCGAAAAAGTTCGTCCACAACCAGTGCATTTCGTTCAAAGTGGCTTCGCTAACAGTATTAAACTCAGTCATCCAGCACAGCTAGTAAGTCTTATTTACTCGGCGGTAGTGCATGATTTCAGTTGTATTTGTTCTTGCCATGAAATTTATTCCTAAGTCTCCCCTCAATCTCTTTTTCAATTACAATGATGATTTCCTACAGCAATATTTTCTATTCTTTTTTTTTTTNATTTTTTTGCTTCCCGTGCAGCTAGCTGCCTGGTCACTGTGCCAACATACATTTCACAAAGGGGTAACCAGATTAATAAGTACAGGCTGATCGGCAGTCTCATGCACTAATGGATGCCGTTTTTGACGGACATATTCTGATTCATTCTTACTAACATTCTGATAGTGGATTTCATAGTCGGATAGCTGATAGTCGATCTGTGCTGATCTGATACTCGTTGACCAATTTGAAGTTTTGAGTTCAAAAGAAAATCTGTGTTTTATTTTCAGTTGCATCCGATCAAATCTATGAATCGAAAGCTTTGGATGCAAAGATTAGCGGCATGGTCAAAAGCACAGGTGGAAGTGGATTCGTTGTAAAAGTAAAGTGAGCTGAAGTTCCCTATTTAGTCTGCATAATCTCCCTGAGGGTGTTTTCCTTTTTTGTTCTCTAGAGGTGTACTTCATAGTTGCTTTGTCCCCTTTATACACTTCGGCTCACTTGGAATGGCTCAGCGGTGTTGCTTAGGTCTGGTGCTGGTGAGCGAGATGTATCTGTTGGTTCAAATGGTGTATTCTCCTTCCATGAACCCTTGACCTCGAGTGGAGACGTGATCATAACTCCTCAGTCAGGCACCCACTTGTTCGATCCTTCTAAATTCTCACTGAGATTCAGGTTTGTTGTTCTTTTAAATATATCGGAGTTTGAGTTTTCAGGAGGTATTTTCTTTTGTTAAGAGGGGATTGCGCGGAAAATGTGGTAACGTTTGTCGCTACAAAAGGAATATTCATCGAAGGGTTGATAATCCCGGCTGTACCAGGCGTGAAGGTATGTGGATATTTCGTGAACAGTGAATTTAGTATTTGGAGGGGTTTTTATTAAGTTTGTCTTCTTTGCCGCCTTTTTTCGAATCGATCGCTTCTGTGTTTTGATAGTGGTTCTTCAGATTGTTGCTCAACATAAGCAAGATGTAAACGTTCATTTCGAAACCGTTTCGGATGCAAAAGGAAAATACAGGTATTTTGCCATACATTAGAAAAATTTATTTCTTCATACTCTTTCAAATAAGATTCAAGTAAGACCTATCAGACCTTTATGGGCTGGCTGAGATAGTGAGAAAATATTCCTAGGCTCAGATTACTCAGTTTACTCGATTCTTTGTCATTAAAATCTAACTCACTGATTTTTAGAAAGGAGTTGTATCTCCAGTTACGTTTATAATCTTTTAATTTCCTTTGAAAGATTGGACTAATTAATGCTAGCGCCCAATTTCATATCGATTTTTGTACAGTGCATATTTGCACTCCAACCTTCTCTTTTCTTCCACATTCTTTGGTTTCTCAATTTTCTTAAGGATTGGTCCCGTTCGTCGTGCGGAAGATATAAAAATCACAGCTGAACTTGACGGTTATGCATTTGCTGAGAAGCCAGGCCATGTTGGGCATATATTGAGCACGAAACTCAGCAAATTGACAGTTGTTGTGGTACGTTAATGGGTGTTACCATTAGGTACCAATAGGTGAGCAAAAGAAATATTCTTCTAATTTCAGTCGGACAAGGAAACATCTGAACGATTAGATGACGTGCTGTTATCGATTGTTGGTGGAAAGGATTACAGAAGTAATAGTATGATCGATAAAACAGGAGAAATCAATTTTGTCGGTTTGGTAAGAAGATCAGCTTTCTTCCACATGACTTATGTTAGTCTTTTGAAAATGCCAGCATACTAAGGAAATCCCTAGGTGTCTTTCCATTTACATAAATTGTAAGCAATTGATATAGCGCCCTTCCCCTCCTCTCCTTTTCTCTCTGGGTTGAAGGCATAATCCAATATAAAATGGTTTCTGAGTTTCTTCCTAAGGGTACAATAAAGCTGTCGGATCGATAACAATCTGGACAGGGCCCCAAGGGCCCGAAATCACTCAGCCGACGTATACTCCCAAAAATCTCACGGCGTTATAAAGTCTGTTGAGGCTATACGCCATTAATATTGTGGCGCACTGGCAACTTACTACAGCCAGTTGCACGCAGTGGCACTCACATTTGGACAGCTCATCCGGATACCCCTTCCATACAGCTTGTCATTCTCCTCCAATTCTTCTATGAAGCCTTATATTCTCTAAATACGCTAGTTCTCGCGTTTTCTCTGATCTTCCTGCACTATTCTGAACTAATCACTTCCGCCGTTGATCCAAATCTAGACACCCCAAAGTTATCGTGAGCTGCGCCTTTAAATATCTGTTTAGGCACCTGGTGACTACTTCCTCCGAGCGATACTGCAAGAGTATAAGTTTGAACCATCGACGACGACGATCACTGTAAAAGAAGGCCAACATGAACATGTTGAACTCCGAGGAAAAAGAGTGGCTTTCAGGTAAGCCTATGCAAAGGTCTAAACAAATCTTGATAGAGAAATCATTCTTACATTAGTCGCGAAATTCCTGCTGCTGCGGTGAATTGGGAGAATTCCTATGGTATAGCGAATTAGCGAACCCCACTTGGATACGGCGCGCCTTGCATCGGTTTGATACTATCGCCCTGTGGCCGGTGCCGGTGAGGATAAGCAAGCAAATGGTTTCGCGACTTCTAAGCAGAATTGCTTACCTGTTGAAATCCTTGGCTGTCTGAGGCAGTTTACGGCAATTAATCGAATATTGCTGGTTCTCTTAAAATGTTATTACGTAAAGGATTTGTATAAATATTACAAGAGGGGGGGGGGGGGGGGACTATGGGCTTCGAATTTGTGATGTATTCTCAAGTGGGAAAGCGATCCCTAGAATATTGCATAGATGAGGTACTGGAAAAGGTGAAGGTGACATCGACCGTTATTCCGAAGTGCGCCATGCACTTGACATTTACCAAGACCACTGGTCGCCTTGGGTTCGTTGAGCTGCCTACACGGCCAGCATGGTTGGTTGATCGCTTATTTTCATTCCGAATATGAATCGTATCAACCAGCAAATCTACACGGCCAACATGGTTGGTTGATCGCTTATTGTCATTCTGAATATGAATCGTATCAACCAGCAAATCATAGTTGGATTGAAAATTTCTTGAAATAAGTGAGTTTTGATCCAGGAGAATGAGTGCGGTTGCATAGTTCCTTGCTTAGCCTACCATGATCCATGACCGTGATGTGGAGAAATTCCTGTCAGAGTTCCTGGCCTCTCAGAAAAAAATACCCTTTTGTCCATTCGTAATCAATCATTCCAATAATATTACAGTACGAGAGCCTCAGCTCTGCGTTCCCGTGGGACTTTCTGGGAATCGCTTCAAATTTAGCTGAGTGTTAAAATAGGCCTCTTATCTATACAGCGGGCTTCACGAATTATGTGCTGGCAGAATAGAGGCCAAATCCTATCTGTTAATTAGTAGTGAAGCTTGAAAGTCAATTTTTTCATATGAAAACATGACTGTCAACTTATTTTTATTTACACTCGCACGCATGAGCTATTTTTCGAAAATTGAGGGAATATTTCTTCAAAGAAATTTACTACCTAATGGTTAAGTGTGTTCGGTCGTATTCGCGAGATGTCGGGATCAGCGGTCGTGGGAGTGGTGGTTGAAGCGTTGTCAGAGCAATGTGATCAACATCAATCAGAAGCTGTCACTGCTCAGGACGGTTCCTACCGTATTCGCGCACTGCGGCCTAGCTGTCAATACCGAGTGTCGATTAAAGGTAGGCGGACCATGATAGTTTTTAAGTTTTGTGTGTAATGCGATTGAATAGTGGTCATTCGGAAAACCAGTCCATTTTTTATCCCGTTTTATTTTGCCAGTTCTTGCACTAATTCGATTTTGTTGAATGATCGAGTAGCAGAATGCTTCTGAAATGCCTTCGTGTATTGACTGCTTTTCAACTTTAGCCGGAGCTGATGGAGCAGCTGCTCCGCACTGTTTTCCGTCTCAGTTCGAAGTGAGGATGACTGCTGAAGATCTGAAAGGATTGGATATGGTTGCAGCGCCGTACGATTTGAGCACCGATCTTGCTGTAGAGGTGACGCTTACACATATTGAACATCCAAGTTACATATATAATATTAATTGCAACTGCCAAAAATACTAGAAGATCTGTTGTAACCTCCTGTCGAGGTTTACATGCTACTTTGGATGTTATCACAGCCGGCGTTTTGGCTAACTTGGCCGCCGGGCTCGTTGATCTTGGTGGTTAAGGTATCGGGAATAACACAGGAAATGCGGAGGGTATACAATAGGTTTAACGGAGAGAGGATGGTGTCTGCTGTGTTTGTGTCCTGCCGTGCCGTAGGATGCCGTATGTTCCGGTTTAATTTTTCTCATTTCATTTCGCACACTACCTGTAGCCAGGCCTAAATAGCTTTTAGAGGTTAATTGGGAATTCAGTTTAAAAGCCTTTAACGCTGGTATCATGTGTTGACTTTTAGGGGTTTTCAGGTGCGGAATTCGTCAAAACTTATTAAATATCGTAAAAATTGTTTTTAAGATGGAATTCGGTTCAATGCCTGTGCCTCCATCGTATCGAGTGACTGTACAGCGCGACGGTGAAACGATTTCTCAATCAGTGGTCCATGCTCCGGTTACGGTATACTATTTGAATAACTTGCCCCGTGATGGCAGGGAATATTCAGTCCGAGTAGAGCCTGATCGGCAACCGCAGACCTTCCCGGCAAAGACAGGTATAAATTCATTGTCCTCCCGTGTACTAAATTTCATTCTTTTCATTTGAATAGAGGAGTTTTCAATTTATTTTCTTATTTTTAATTTTTCTGAAGATCACATAAAATCAGTGTTCGTTGAAAAAGGTGCATACTCCAGTGTTCTTCACCACTGATGCACCAGTACGTGTCGTGAGGATTCCAATCACATCGTCTAAGCGCTCGGGTGAAGTAGAGATCAGCGCCGGCTCTCTACTTGCTTTGCCGTTTTTCGGATTGCTTGCGTTGATTTTCTTCAATCAGGTATAGTTTCCTTTCATGAGAAACAATTGGTATTTCGACTCAACGACTACGTTTTTCCAATTATTTTGTTGTTTTTATTATTATTCTATTTATAACTTGTATTTTTTTGTTGACCCTTTCAGTTTACAATTTCAAATATTTGAGCCCCTTCAGATTACTTGCCTTTGATCATCAATGATCCCCAAAATTTAGGTAAAAGAATACACTTAGAATTCTAGAGAAGGTATCTAAGGTGAAGGATTTGAGCAAGTAGGGTCAAGACTCTGCTCTTGACCCTACTTGCTGCTGATCATCTTGGAAGTGGCAGATTGGTACTTCTCACTCTGGTATTACCAGCTACCCACTTATCATTGTCAACCCAATGAATAATAACTTTTTTCTTAAGCAATAGAGCGCCTACTTGTAGAAACTGCATGCAGGTCATGTTAGCGTAACTTGTATTTAATGCAAAAATTTCGCCCTCTTTGTTTTATTCAGCAAACTAAGCAGTTCAGCACTTCGCCATGAGATTTTACATGAAGTATTCAACTTTTAGGCAAAGTTTCGGCAAATACCATTTTGTCAGAGGCCTAAGCTTGGGTAGTTATTCCATAAACTTCTCCTACATGTTCGACTTTCTCCTTCTGTCTAGCTTTTTTACGTGATGCTTTGCGACACACATGAAGCGCTATGACTAGTGGTGCAATTTAGATGAGCTTTGGTTCCGAATTCACGAAACCTCCCCTTTTTTGAAGAATGCCTTAAACCCATGTTTAGGCTTTTGCAAGCGATGAAAAAATCGGAAATCCTGTGAAAAATAAATCTTCAGCCGTCAAATGTGCGGTGTGAGAGGAATGAAAGTAATATTTTAACGACTAGCTGTCATTAGTGCTTAGGGCATTAACATTATCGTCGATGCTCCACTGTAATTCTGGAATTCATTTTTTTGGAATTTTTGAATTTTTTTTTGGAATCTTTTGGACCTGGAATTTCGGAGTTCTATTTGAAACTTGGAAGTCATCTTTATTGAATTCCAATGCATAGCCCAAAAGTGGTGGGTCCTCATGGTTCAACCTCAGGATTCTCATTTCATTTCGACATTTCAATGGCTAAAATAAAATTGCAATTGTAAAAGATTATCTTGTGTATCCTACGTTCTATGTTACTGGCTGTAGTGTGGCCAAACCAATTAAAGCCAGGGAACACTTCGTAACAAAAGACTACTCTCCGAACTAATACTCAACTCTGTCCACCCATCTGGAATGTGATTTCAAAAATCGGGACATCTTTACATTGGATTTTTGATTTTTTTT